GAGGGAGGAGGGAGGAGGGCGGAGGGAGGAGGGAGGAGGGAGGAGGGAGGAGGGAGGGATCATCCACTTCAGCGACAAGAACATGGAGGGGCTCCAGATGTCGGCGGAGAGGATGCGCCAAGCCGTGGGCAACCTCTTCGGCTCCGCCACCGAGACCGAGTGGTGTCTCCAGCCAACTTTTAGCCGCGTGGCGAGGGCCATCGGCAGCAAGGTCCAGCCTGACGGTCACGAGCTGGAACTACGGGGCATTGTTACACCATGACCTCTATCTCCGCAGCCGGAAGATCTCCTACCTCCGCACCCTCCTCTCCCCCACCTCGATCCTCGGGCTTCAGGAAGTTCACGGGACCCTGGCGGAGGCTGAGGATATGATGTACCAGATCCACAAGAAGTGCAAGATGTTTCGCTCCTTTGCCCCGTGGGTCTGCGTCGCCTGCGAGACGCAGAATATTGGGACCAGGTGAGTCTGCATGGAGTGTGGGTCGTCCAGACCTCCGCAGAGCACGAATGTGGGCGGCTTGCTGACATTCTTTCCTGATTTGGGTGCTCAGGTGTCCTTCCGAGTCAGAGAACTGGTTCCAGGCCGTGTGTTGAACGTGGTTGCGAGCTTTGGCGGGTCTGGGGACTGCTGGTTATCGCACTACAATGTTCACAATTTTGGGCTCTCCAGGGACGAAAAAAGGAAGGTCACCCAAGCCATCGACCTCGAGTTTCAACTAGCGAAGCGCGCCCCTGAGCGCACTCTTGTCGTGGTCGCTGGCGATTTCGATATCAGCAACACCCCGTCGTCACCCTCAACGCCTGGAGGTGAGTTTCGCGGCAACTTTGGATTCCATGAATGGAGAGCCCGTCGGGACCCTATTTGGCAGGCGCTACTCAGCAAATTGGTTGAGGTTGAGCAACCTGACCCTACTCAATACTGTCTGGCGAATGGCCCCACGAACATCATATATAGGATCTTTGTGTCTCTCCCTGGGTGGGGCTTGATTCAACTGAACGCCCTGGGGACCACGAAAGATATCGTCGAAACCATCTTCCATCGGGACCTCTCGGACCACGCCCCAGTCTCTGTTGACCTCAAGAGCGCTCCGCAGACTCCTGGGCAAGATCGGCCCATCCCCAATTTAAAGAGCTCTTCGGCACCCCGTACTTCAGGGATTTCATGGAGGCCCACCTGCAGGCTGTGTCTCGGGAAGGCTTATCACCGCCACTGAAGATTGAGTCATTCAAGTATCTTATGAAGGAAGGAGCCAGATTCGCTCGGAATGCCATTCTTCATCACGACCCGTCCTCGAGGCTTGGTCGCATCATTCTTTGCCGAAGCATCGCCCGAGCTGTCTGGAGACAAGATGCGAAGCTAGGCTCCATCCTTCTGCAGGCGCATTCGAGTGCACGTGCTGTTCTAGGCTACGACGTATGCAGCGGACGTCTTTGGCTTCTAGATCCCGACAAATTTGCAACGGACCTTGACCAGCTGCAGACGGCGGACTTAGAGGCCCAACAGAATTCTATCAAAGAGAACCTCAAAGACGAGACCCCCGAGAGACTCCGTCGTAAACGTCGTCAACAGCTTCGCCGTCTTCAAAAACGTGCTGCGATCTGGGCGCCCTTCGACCGCCGTCTTCACGTGAAAGGTATCCGGCTAGGCGAGGAAGTGGCGACGACGCCTGAATCCATGTCTGCGGCGATCTGCAGCTACTGGGGTGATGTCTTTGGGCCCAAGCAGGTACTCCAAGGTCCAGCTGGTCAATACCTGACCCGATTTGGAGGCAATTTCGACTTCTCGGAGATCCTCCCACCTACCATATCTGGCACCAGGGCCCGACTGGGGAACTTGGAGGACTGCGCTCCTGGACCCGACAAGCTTCCATGCGCTGCATGGCGCTTTGCACCTCAGGCAGCGGAGCTGCTTGATGAATACCTTTGGTGGATCCTGGCTGGGAACTCTCTGCCCCCGAGCTTTAACGATATGTTGGGCATTTTCATACCTAAGGGAGAGGAGGAAGGGGATGCAGGAGGAGCCACCCGCGACGTTCAGTCGCTCCGCCCGCCCGGCCTGAAGAATCCGGAGAATCAGATTCTCGCCAGCCTCGTGGTGCGCCCGTTCTCGGTCAAGATGGCCGAAGTCAGTTGTCGGCTCCAGAGAGGCTTCACGATTGGCAGACAATTCGGGGAGAACATTATCGAAATCGACACCTACGCTCGACTCGCTTCGATGTCAGAACACGCCGAAACCAACCTCCCCGCCATCGTCTCGTACGATTTCGCCCAGGCCTTCCCCTCCGTGGCGCACTCCTGGATGCACAAAGTTCTGAAGAAAATGAATCTCCCTGGTCCACTCGAGTGGTTCTTCTGGATCCTCTATCAGAATGTCCACTGCTTTGGGCCCCTCGGCGGAGCTACCGTGTGGCTCTTTACTATCTGGTCTGGTATCATTCAGGGATGCCCTGCTAGCGGTGCTCTGTTCGCTGCGAGTTTGAATCCGTTCCTGCTGGACTTCGAACGGAGTTTCGTTGGCCTGTCGCGGGGTGTGATCCTCGCTTGCGCTGGTGAC